TGCACGTAAAATAAAAAATCTTAAAAATTAAGTAAGTAATTGAACAGCATTTATACCCAGTGTACAAATGGACACTGGAGCCCATTCCCCATAGAGGGATACTCTCTCAGCCTAGACACATGGGGGAGGGCCTAGGCCCTGCCCCAAATGATGTGACATATTTTGATGGTCTTCCCTTTCTATGGAGCAGAAAAGGGATGGGATGGAGGTCAGCCGGGGGGCATGGAAGAATGGGAGGGAGAGGGAACTGGGATTGATATATAAAATAAGATTGTTTCTAATTTAAATAAAAAGGAAAAAAAGCTATAATTAAAAGCAAAAAAAAAAAGCAAGAAATAGTTACTCCTTAATGGTCAATGGCAGCACAGTTTTTAACCAGGGAACAGAAACAACCCAAATGTCCATGAACTGATAAATTAATAAGCAAGTGCTGGGTTGGAGATGCACACCTACAACCCCAGCATTCCAGAAACTGAAGCAAATCATTAATTCAAGGCCAGCATGGGCTTTCAAGACCCCTGGCTCACAGAGTGTGGTGGCACATGCCAGTAGTCCTAGTTACTAGGGAGGCTGAGACAGGAGGATTGCTTGAGTTCAGGAGTTCTGGGCTGTAGTGCCCCTATGCCGATTGGGTATTCAAACTAATGCATCAATATGGTGACCTCCCAGGATGGGGGGGGCACCAGGTTGCCTAAAGAGGAGTGAACTGGCCCAGGTCGGATACAGGGCAGGTCAAAACTCCCGTGCTGATCAAGACCCTGTCTCAAAAAGTTAAATATTGGGGGAAGGGGCACACAACAGGACACACACTCAAAATGATGCCTTTCTCAGATAACATGGACTATTAAATAAAAAGCCCACTACTAACTATGGGGTACTTACTTTTTTGTGAATTGGTCAGTGGGTCTCATCACTACTACCAGCCCCCAACCCCCCACCCACACATTACATTGCCATTGTTCTGGTTACCCTCCAGAACTTGATGTTAATACCTGCTGGCTGAGCACACTGGCACACACCAAGGGCAGGCAGATCTCTGTGAATTTGAAGTCAGCCTAGTCTACATGGTGAGTTCCAGATCAGCCAGGGGCACATAATGAAAGCCTATCTCAAAAAAGCAAAACAAAACAAAAAAGCCACATTGCTGAAGATATCACTTGCATCACAAAACATGAAGAAATAAAACTAGTACTGCCCTGGAAGTTTCATCTCTATTGGCTAATTTTTATAGTGTTGGAAGGACCTACCCATGCTACCAGGGGAGAAAAGTAATCAATAGTTTTATTCACGTATGAACTCTACAAACTATAATAATGAATGGCCTGGCGAGACATGCCTACTGGTACAATAGTGGTGTGAATGTTAGGGGAGTAACTAACTATTTTCTGGTTGACTTTAAGGCTACTACACAAGACAAAACTTGTACTGTTAACTGCACCATGAAGCTAAGCTGGATAGGACATAGACCCTAGGAGAATACTATTATTCTGCTAAATGGTCATGTATTAAACTGCCCCTTAAATACTTATTTTTTATAATCAGATTATTAGTGCAACTCTCAACCCAAATCAGAGAAGCTACTTTTTGCAGTAGATATTGATTAATACAGAGACCCAGAACTGGTCAACATGAAGAAAATAAGAGATTATGAGTCTGGCATTGGTGGCGCCACCTTTAATGGTAGCACTTGGGAGGCAGAGGCAGGCAGATCTCTGTGAGTTCGAAGGCCAGCCTGGTCTACAAAGCAACACAGAGAAACCCTGTCTCAAAAAACAAAACAAAATAAAACAAAGCAAGAAAGCAGGACATACAGAATGGAAGAAAGGTAAAATGTCCCAAGGCAAAATGTAAATAAACAGAAAGAGGTTAGATTAAGTTATAAAAGCTAATGGAACAAGTATAAACTAAAGGCTAATGTTTCATAATTAATAAGAAGTCTCTGTGTCATTATTTGGGAGCTGGCTGGCAGGACAGAGAAAGAGCTCAGCTACAGTTCCCAGCACTGAGATTGGGCTGCTCACAATCACCTGCCTGCCTCCGGGAGACCCAATACCTTTAGCTTCTAAATGCATCTGCACTCACATGCACACACACACACAGAGAAACATACAATACACATAGTTAAAAAATATAAAAACAAGTCAGGCAGTGGTGATGCACATCTTTAATCCCAGACTCAGGGGGCAGAGGCAGGTGGATCTCCGAGTTCAAGGTCAGCCTGGTCTACAGGCCTAGTACCAGGACAGCCAGGGCTATTATCCAGAGAAACCCTGTCTTGAAACTGCCCCCCCCCCAAAAAAATAAATTAAATCTGGGCTAGAGAGATGGCTCAGAAGTTAAGAGCACTGGCTGCTCTTCCAGAGGTCTTGAGTTCAATTCCCAGCAACCACATCATGGCTCACAACCTCTATAATGAGAACTAGCATGAAGTCAATAGAGCACTCGTATACATAAAATAAATAAATCTTTAACAGCAACAACAAAAGAATATTAAATCTAAACCACAGAATATGCCTTTAATCCCAGTAAAGGGAGCGGGGCAGGTACAGAAGCAGACAGATCTCTCTCTCTGAATTTAAGGCTAGCCTAGTCCATATAGAGAATTCCATGATAGCCAGGGCTCCAAGACAGAGCCTGTCTCAAAAAACAAACAACAACAAAAACCAAGTTAAATCTGAAGGACATTATGCTAAGCAACACTGGTCAGACACAGAGAAAAGCTCCAAGATCTTACTTATATATATATATGGAATCTAACAAGGTAACAGAGCTAGAACAGCCCAGTGGTAAAGCATGTGCCTACATGTGTAGGGTTTAATCTCCAGCATTACAAAATAACCGTTTTTTAAAAGTGGTTAGAGTAAGAAGAAGATGAAAGCAAAAGCACACAAAGTTGTAGCTCTGAAGGACAGTAAGTCAGAAGGCTGAGGTTGGAGAGGTGGCTCAGTGGTTAACAGCACTGACTGCTCTTCCAGAGGACCCTGGTTCAATTCCCAGCACCCACATGGCAGCTCCCAACTGTCAGTAACTTCAGTTCGAGGGATCCAGCATCTTCACACAGACATATATGCAGGAAAAACACCAATGCATAGGCACATGCCTTTACTCCCAGCACTCGGGAGGCAGAGGCAGGGGGTCTCTGTGAGTTCAAGACCAGCCTGGTCTACAAGAGCTAGTTTCTGGACAGCCTCCAAAGCCACAGAGAAACCCTGTCTTGAAAAACCAAAATAAATAAATAAATAAATAAATAAATAAAATCAGAAGGTGTAATGTATAACATGAAGGTTATTGTTAATAATATTGTATATTAAGAACTTGCCAAAAGACAGTACATATTGAGTATTTTTACCAATAACAACAATAATAAAGGAAGTTACGTGAGATGATAATTTCAGTAATTTGCTGGATTATATCACTTTACTGTGTATCTCAAGTGCATCAGTACTCCTCCCTGATGGCCAATCTGGTGGTACACTCCTATAATCCCAGCACCCAGGAAGACAGAGAACAAGGGATAGTGTTCAAGGCCAGCTTGGACTCCACAGCAAGATTCTATCTCAAAAACCAAACCAAAGCAATCATGCTGTATACCTTACATTTATGCAAATCTGTGCCCCTGACTGGAGGGAGGTGGCCCCAGGGTACCTCATTTCAGTGGCTGGTTTTAGTTATTTGGTTTTGGTTGTTTTGAGACAGGGTCTCATGGAGCTGAGCCTAGCCTCAAACTCACTGTGTACCTAAGACTGGCCTGATGTTCCTACCTCTGTGCTTGGATTATATGTGTTGGTCACCACAACTAGCTAAATCTTTTGTTTTTTTCTGTGGTACTGGGGACTGAACCTAGGATCTTGTACATGCTTGGCAAGAGCTGCACACTGAACTATATTATTTGTTTTGTTTTGTTTTCAGAGACAGGGTTTCTCTATATAACGGTCCTGGCTATCCTGGCACTCACTCTGTAGACCAGCGTGGCCTCGAACTCACAGAGATCCCGTCTCTTTCTACCAAAGGCGAGATCACTGCCACAGCTGGTTTGATTCCTGAGTGTTAGCACCTGGTTTTGCTCTGCCTTTTGCGAGTGCTACCTTTTGTGCCCAGTACCTTCTGTTTGAAGTATGTAAGTCTTATCTGAGAAGTTCCTAAGGGTTCAAAGCCTATGCAAAACTTGGTTGCAGGAGGACTCAGCAAACTGATGTCCCAGTAACCAGTAATTTGCATTGGCATCATCTTTGTGGAGCTTAGAAAAGAGGTTTTGGTAGCAAGAAACTGACTTGCTAATGGTGTGAACTGTAAAACAATAAAAAGGCCCTTTGCTAAGCTACAGAGTCAGTTCACCAGAGACCAACCCCCCTGCAGCTGGAAAAGCTACAAATTCATCCTAGAGTGCCTGTTTCTTCTTTCTTTGGACCCACGTGAAACCACACCCAATACAACACTTTTCTTTTGTAATTATATGTGTTTGTGTTTATGTGAGTGCGGTTGATAGCCAAGTCCAGAAGATGTCATATCCCCTGGTGCTAGAGTTACAAGTGGTTGTGAGTGACTAGGAATTAGACTCCAAGGTTGGCAGACAGATAGGGAGAGGGGCCATGGCTTGGTAATAAAGGTGGCAAATTTCCAAAATGGCCAGCTTCTTCCTCACCCCTCTGACTTTGAGAGAAAAGCCTGGCAAACTTAAAAAAAAAAAGGGGGGGGGGCAGGCATTTTGTCTCCCTTAGCAGGCCCACTGCTGATGGACTAGCTCAACAAGTTCAAGGCTGACTCAAGACAGAACAGTTCTCAGCCAACCATGATCCTTCTTCAAACTGACTAACTGATGGGGAATGTCCTGTGTATGTTTATCTTCTTATTGGTTATTGAATAAAGTACTGTTGGCCAATGAAGAAGCAAGTTAGGCGGGACTAGGAGTCAAGGAGGATTCTGGGAAATGTAGTAAAGAAGTGTTGTGATCCAGGCAGGAAGTGACATAGCAGGCAGTCTCTTATATAAGCAAGGACAAACAGGAAGTCATTCCTTTTCTCTTGCTCTCTTCCTCCTGCTCTCTGCTCTGGAGTCGCCATGTGACCACCAGGAAGACAGGACGCATTCTGCCTGTGTCCACTATAAGGTAAGTCTTACGATTATGGTTGATAATTAAGACTGAGCTAGCAGATTAGAAATCCTAGTCATTGGCCAAGCAGCACTTGTAACTAAGTCTCTGTGTGTTACTTGGGACCTTAACATGGTGGTGGGCAGAACTTGGGCGGCCTGGCAGAAAGCACCCACGTGGGGCAGGGCTCGGGTGGCTTTGGTGGAAAGACTTATCATTACAACTAACCCTAAATTAAGAGAGAAAATCTCCTCAGAGAATTAAAGACCCATCCCTTGAGAAGAGACTGGGTTTTCAGGTGCCCCAAGTTCCCTCTGCTTTGCAGAGCATCATCATTTTCTGTGTGTTCTCACTCCCAGTGAACTACTTTCTTCAACTGCTGATCCTGTCTGCAGAGTCTGAGATTCCTCCAAAGCAACTCAATGTGCTTGAGATTTTTCCTTCCTTTTAATTTTTTAACTGGCAGAAGAATTGAACTTGATCAAGACTCCTAGACTGTATCACTTTGGGAATTTGTCCAGGATTTCTTCTGAGGAACACTGACTCATCAAGGTTAGAAATCAGGCTAAACCAAAAAGAATGAAATGTGTGTCTGTTAGGCTGCTGCTGGTTCCTTCCCCTGTCCCAGGATAGGACTGGTAATTTTATTTTCTTCTCTCTTACAAGGAAGAGAGTGTGTCTGATGACTAGAAACCTGTGAGAAAGTACTAAAACTATACTACTAACCTAGGGTCTGGCTCCATAGAAATGTTGCCTTCGTCTGGTCACTGATCCTGGTGCCTGAAGGAAGGACATTTTTAGGGAAATAGTTACTATGTGGAGACAGACAAACCTTTGGATTTTTCAGAGCCCCTGAATCTCAAGTGCAAGCCTTTAATCCCAGCACTCAGGGGGCAGAGGCAGGCAGAATTCTGTGAGTTCAAGGCCAGTCTGGTCTACAAATCGCAATTCAGGGCAGTCAGAGCTGTTACACAGAGAAACACTGTCTTGAAAACAAAAAACAAAACAAAAGACAAAAAACAAAAGACAGGTTCTTGTAATCTAGATTGGCCTAGAAGGCAACATGTAGTTTTGCCTGGCTGTGAACTCCCTGTTCCTCCTGCCTCCACCTCCCAAACACTGAGACCACAGGTGTGTAACAATCGTGTTCCCTGCCAGATATGCTGCTGTCAAACTCACAGGTTTGGGGAATTAGTCAAGATATCAAAATGGGCTGGACAGTGGTGGTATAATCCCAGCACTCGGGAGGAAGAGACAGGTGAACCCCTCAGCTGGAGGTCAGCCTGGTCTACAGAGTGAGTTCCAGGATATCGAGAGCTACACAGAGAAACCCTGTTTCAGAAACAAACAAATAAAACAAACGATGAAAACCACGAGCCTGGGACATTGCCGGATAATCCTATTAAAAAAGATATTTCTCTTTTAAAATGTCAATTAGATGTTGATGTCTGGTTGTGACTTCAACAAGTGTAACCTAGATTTCACTCAGGTTTGACCCATACTGTCCCCTCCACAGGACATTACAGCTGGCACATGGGCAGAGGCATTGCTTGCTGGTAAGGCACTATCAGTAATGGCTTCTACAAGAGTCTGGAAAAAAGGGTCTGGTGCACAGTCCCCAAATACACAATTTACCTCACCTTATTAACCAAAACTTATATTACTTATGATGTCGAGGAACTTTCCTCATTAGTCTTGTCTTTTTTGAGGGGAGGGGTTTTTGAGACAGGGTTTCTCTGTGGCTTAGGAGGCTGTCCTGGAACTAGCTCTTGTAGACTAGGTTGGTCTCAAACTCACAGAGATCCACCTGCCTCTGCCTCCTGAGTGCTGGGACTAAAGGTGTGCGTCATCGCCGCCCGGCTTAGCCTTGTCTTTTAATGTCCCCTGTGAGGTTATAGTAGAAGAAGCTCAATGGTTGACTTCTAAACTTAAATTGGCTGAAAGCTCCTTGAACTCTTTAACTAGATGAATGGCCTGTTCCACAGTATATCTATGGTAGATGGTGGTGGCAAAGAAATCAACCTGCCAAGGATTCTTTGGGTGGCTTTCTTGCCTGTTTTCTTCCTAAGGGCAAAACTGCCCAAGCTATTTTTTAAAATAATTTATTTATTTTTATTTTATGTGCTTTGGTGGTTTGCCTGCATGTATGTCTGTGTGAGGGTGTCAGATCATGGAGGTATAGACAGTTGTGAGCTACCATGTGGGTGCTGGGAATTGAACCCAGGTCCTCTGGAAGAGCAGTCAGTACTCTTAAGTGCTGAGCCATCTCTCCAGTCCTATCCAGCTATTTTTCTAACTATGCTCTCAGTAGGAACTATAGTACTACCAAAAGTGTCATTTTTAATGTTATAGATGCTATCACACTTATATGACAAGCTCCACAGATACACACTATCACCAAATTGCTGTCTAGTGTTTTAAATCTTTGCCATTGGTTCTATAACGGTCCCTTAGATCACGCCTCTGAGGCATTCTGATTGCTGCTGCTTTATCGTTAATTCTTTGTTGGTTTGAAGCAGTTAAGAGACTTAGAAAGCCCCACCCTTGAGAGGAGACTGAACTATGTGGCTTCCCCAGTTGCACCTCTGCTTTGAGAAGCTTTTTTTTTTTCTCTGTGTGCCTGCTGCATGCTCCTCACCACCAGTGAATCGTTTCTTCAACTGCTGTTGGTTCTGTTTGTGGTGCTTGTGAGACTTCTCTGCTGCTACCTATTTTGCTCGAAATTCTTCCTTTTAATTCTTTAACTGGCAGAGAAAATCAGTCTGATCAAGACATATAGACTGTAAGCTGTCCAAAAGTGGGCACTGGGAACTGAACCCAGGTCCTCTGCAAGAGCAGTATATGCTCTTAAACTTTTGCAAAGGAGGTTGGTAAGTAGAGATGGTCATTTCTCCCTTTGACTGTGGCTCCGTGAGCACAGAGGCTGCCCCTGAAGACTAGAGGTTTCTTGCTGAGGCTCTCCCTGCATGTTCCAGCATGAGGTTACTAATTAGTAAGAGCCACAAGTGTCCCCATTAACTACATGTTTGTAACAGGCTTCCTGTTGTTTTCATCAACCACCTCATTTTATTCCCGGAACACTATTGGGCCATTAGAACTAGCATTCAGTATGATAAACAAAAGGATATTTGGGTAACAAAGACAACATAATCTTATCAGACCACCAAGATCTCATTCCACTGTGCTGGGGGAGGGGAAGTGCCAGTCCATAGTACTTTATACTCTGGAGCAGACTCTCTGAAGAGCAATTTGGCCTAAATACTAAAGTGTGAAATAAATAAACTCTTTATAGAGTCTCAATATATAGCTCAAGCTGCTTTCAACCCTATTATCTTCCTGTCTCAACCTACTGAAGGCAGGCATTATAACAAGTATGACCACCATGCTCAGCTTACAGAGACCCTCTGACCCCGGAATTCTACCCCCAGAGAGTTATCCTGAAAATGATAGAGGTATTACTATAGGACTGACTGTGGCAGAAAAAGCTAGAAACAAATATCCAACAATGAATGGCAGTCTCACAACAGAGTACTACTCAGATAATGCAATAGTTACTGAGGCTCCAGTGATGACTACACACCAGGCGACATGACTTACAGGAGTGCTTTACAGGTATTTAGTTCTAACAACCCTGTTTTTCCAACTTGCAGTTAACTTCCAGCTGAGTTAACAGATGGTGTGCTGGCAACGCTTTCAATCACTCCTTACCTGTGTTAAAGGGTTCAAAAGGCAGCTTCTGGAAGGACCCCAGAAAATGGTGCATGGCAGTATATTCATAGTGGCAGGAGCTACAATCAAGAAAAACCAATCATTAAAAATAAAGTTTTCCATTCTATTTAGTAACAGAATTGGCTTATTTGACCTACTTATTTTTCCTTGAAGAAATGTTGACTGTTCTGACATTTGATACTTACAGTGACTCCACAAAGGCACACTGTTCACATGATGTAGAAATGCATTGTAGACGACCCAATAAAAGTATGCACTGCCCATTATAAGCTCATAGATGAAAAGCCTCTAAGACACATTACAAAAATAAAATTGTGCGTGCGTGCGTGTGTGTGTGTGTGTGTGTGTGTGTGTGTGTGTGTGTGTGTGTGTGTGTGTCTATGTGAATATGTGCACAAGAGTACAGGTACCTGTGGAAGCCAGGGGAAGGTGTCAGATCCAGCTGGAGATGCATTACAGCCGGCTGGGAGTGGCTCAACAGAAGTGCTGGGAACTGAACGTTGGGTTATCTCTAAAAGCAACATGTACACTCTTAACTATTGAGCCATCTCTTCTAGCCCTGCTAATTGGCAACTCATCCTGCAGCTAAGGTTTTGGCCTTATGTGTATTCTCTGAGAGTTCAAAGCCATCCTGGACTACATTAGAGTGAATCAGTCTAAAACAGAAACAGAGCTCACACCTGTGATCCCAGCACTTGGGATGATGCCTTTAATCCCAGCATTAGAGAGGAATATAAGGCAGGAGCTCAGTGCAGCCTCAGGGGAGTCTGAGGATTTGTGGAGACAGAATAGCACATTTTGGTCTGAGGTAGAGGTAATAGCTAGTGGCTGGCTACTTTCCTTCTCTGGTCTTCAGCTTTAACTAGAATATCTGTCTCTGGGTTTTTATTATTCCTGTTACACTTACTATGTAACTGAGGATAATCCCGAACTTCTTGTCCTCCTGCATCCATTTCCTGAGTGCTGGGATCACAGGTGTGGGTCTCTAAGACCAGTTTGGCAACATTAACACAATTTGGAGATCCTACAATATTGTATCAATTTGAGCTTCATGGCTTTAACCACTACACCACAATTAATGAAAGAAATGTCCTCATAGGAGACACTGAAACAGTTACATTATAGGGTCAGCCAGGCTCTACTGCAGGCACAAGGGTCCATACAGGAAATGAAGACACTAGGATCCATACAGGAAAACAGAATACAAACATGGAGTTTGCAGGATCTTGAGTAATGGTATCTGGGATTTCTAGTCACTACTTTTTATTAACTTTTCTAAGTTTGGAACTACTACACAACAAAAGGTTTTTTCATCATTAATGATGACATCATAACAATCAAGGAAAAAAGGTCTCAAAACCTTACTTTTCTGCAGGTGTTTCTGCACATGAAAGAAGAGCTGCACACAGATCTGTATATACTGAGCCCTGCTCCTTGAACCTACCTGCCTGTTAGGGGCTGAAAATTCAATGCTTTAAATATTTATACTGAGGAAAGAGGAGGAGTGGCCAACACCATACAACACTGAGCTAGTTTTACTGGCTGTACTGGTTTAGAATGCTTTTTTCTTTCTTTCTTTCCCTCCTTCCCTTCCATTTTCCCGTGGGTTTTTTAGTTATTCGAGACAGGTTTTCTCTGTGTAGCCATGGCTGTTCTGGAACTTATTCTGTAGACCTCTGTCTGTAACCTTGAACTCACAAAGATCTGCCTGTCTCTGCTTCCCAAGTGCTAGGATTAAAGGCGTGTGTCACCACTGCCAGGCTTTGAATTGTTTTGAGAATGTAGCTCAGGCTGATCTTGAATGTTCACTTTTCCTGTCTCTGCCCACTAGTGTTGGGATTATGTCTGTGCACATGGTGGCTCTGATGTACAATGTTTTAACTGTCTTTTGTGGCTACTTTGCCAGAAAAGCTGTAGTGACAGAGTAGGCAGATGTAAAGGACCATTCTTTCTGAGTAGCATGATCTAAGAAACAATACTACCCTAGGAGAAATCAAATATGTCCCAGTGGTGATAAGTGATTACACTGACAAGCAGAGCCCTGACTTCTAGTTAGCAACTAGATTCCCTCATCAAAGATCAATCTTCCAGTTCTCTGAATTTCAATTTAGATAACACCCTAGTTTCTGAAATGTCTGTCTGTTTTTAGCCTCCTTGGGCACCAGGTACTTACATGATGCACATATAAAGTTTTTTTGTTTTGTTTTGGTTTGATTTGGTTTTTGGTTTTTGGAGACAGTGTTTCTCTGTATTGCTTTGGAATCTGTCCTGGAACTCGATCTGTAGACCAGGCTGGCCTGGAACTCACAGAGATCCTCCTGCCTCTGCCTCCCTAGTGCTGGGATTAAAGGCATGAGCCACCAACGCCTGGTGCACATATAAACTTTTTTTTTTTTTTTTTGAAGCAGGGTCTCAAGATGTTGCCCTAACTAGCCTAGAACTCACTTAGACTAGGCTAGTCTTGAACTTACAGAGATCCTCTGACCTCTGCCTCCTGGGTTATGCAATTAAAAGCATGCACCATCATACCCAGCTTCAGTTTCCAAAACATTGATCTGAAATCTATATAAAGAAACTACACCTTTGTCAGTAAATGCTTCTTATTTGGAGCACTTTATAATATTAAAGTGGTAACTTGCATGATTATAAACATCTAAATTGACTTTTTGTGAAAAACAGAAATGCATTTATGACTTTTGTACCTATTTGCCTTATGGATATTTAGTCATTAAGTTCTATAAACATTTTACAAATATTTTCAGGTTTCAGTTTTTTGTTTTTTTTTTTTTTTTCTCAAAAAAACTTGACTTGAAAACACTCTCCACGTGGTGCTGATGTGGCTGGTGTAATGGATCTGGCTCCTCTTCTATGTGAGAGGTAGGGACTCTCAGCCTGGGAAAACTGAGCACCACCTCATCTTAGACAGTTGCTCTCACTGGCGTGGCCTGGCAGCATGCTCCTTCTAACTTTCTGGGACTTTGTCAGTCTTCTTTGCAGATTTTCTTTTGCCTTCCAACTTTGAAATGTGGCCATGTCCAGGTACAGACCTTTTCTCCCTACCCACTCTCTCTCCTTGGAACTGCTCCCAGGCACATGGTTTTAAAGAGCCACTCACTATTTCTTAGTGTTCAATTGCCCCTCCAGAGACCCCGAGGTCTAGATTTGAAACCATCTCCCCACAACCCCTACTCTGACTCATCTAAAACTGAATTTGTTCTAAACAGATTTCCTAACCTGGAGTAGTAAGAGTTTTCTACCTGTGTTACAGCAGACCAGATGTTTACAAATCTACTTTCACTTCTAGACACCTGCTAGCCTACATTTCCAAGCCTCCTTTGTAGCAACACGTGAGGAATAGCAGGTACAAGTGATCCACCTGCTCCCACCTCAGAGGTATCTTAAACTATCACCACATACAACTGGGCTGGTTGCACCTCCAGGTTTTCTGAACATTTATGTCCCAGTAATGAGAATTACTCAAAGGGCTTTACAAGAAAAATCAGAAAATACTCCAGGTTTACCCATCACAAAGGGTACTCTTGTTCACCACAAACACCCAAGGGCACCCTGCATGTATGTGCAGAAGAGAAGGATATTGGTGCCCTGCTCCATTTGTCACTCTGCCTTACTCCTTTGAGACAGGATCTCTCACTAAATCCAAAGTGAGGCTGGCAACCAGCAAGCCCGAGTACCCCTGTCTCTGCCCTCAGCACTGGGCAGAGTCATGTCCAACTTTTTGAGTGCTAGGAATCTAAACCCAGATCCTCATGCCTGAGCAATGTGGTGGTTTCAGTGACAATGGCCCCCATAAGCTAATGTATTTGCACACTTAGTCCCCAGTTTTTGGTGAACCATAAGTAAAGAGTAGGAGGTGTGGCCTTGTTGGAGGAAGTGTGTCACTGAGGATGTGTTTTGAGATTTCAAAAGCCCAGGACAGGTCCAGTGTCTCTTTCTCTCTCTGTCTATGGATTAGGATATAAAGCTCTCATCTACTGCTACAGCACCATGCCTGTCTGTTTCCTGTCATGATGATAACTGAGTAACTGAAACTCTAAGTAAGCCCTCAGTTAAATGATTCCCTTTATAAATGTTGCATTTGTCATGGTGTCTCTTCATAGCAATAGAACAGTGACTAAGGACAGGCAGTTAGAACTTGTCTTACTGAGTCATTGCCTTATCCCACATAATTCCTTAAAAAAAAAAAAAGACAAAAAAGACAGGCTATCATATGTAGCCCTGGCTGTTCTACGACTCATGTAGAACAGGTTGTCTTCAGACTCACAGAATCAGCCTACCTCTGCTTTCCCACCTCCCAAGTGCTAGGATTAAAGGAGTGAGCCACCAGGCCCAGCTTTTTATTTATTTTTTAATGTTATATATATGGATATTTTGCCTGCATGTTTGTCTGTGCCTGATACTCTCAGAGCCAAGAATTGGATTATTAGATTCCCTCAAACTAGTTACAGAGGGTTGTGAGCTGTTGTGTGGGTGCTGGGAATTGGAGAGTAGCCAGTGTTCTTCACCAACAATCAATCTCTCAAACACCTAGGGCAGTTTCTTACTTAGTGATTGATGTGGGGAGGGCCTAGTTCTTTGTGGGTGGGACAAACCCCTGAGCTGGTGGTCCTGGGTTCTATAAGAAAGCAGACTGTGGGTCAGGCATTGGTGGCTCATGCCTTTAATCCCAGCACTAGGGAGGCAGAGGCAGGAGGATCTCTGTGAGTTCCAGGCCAGCCTGGTCTACAGATCAAGTTCCAAGACAGTCTTCAAAGCTACACAAAGAAACCCTGTCTTGAAAAAAGAAAGGAAAGAAAGAAAGAAAGAGAGAGAGAGAGAGAGAGAGAGAGAAAGGAGGCAGACCATGCAAGCCATGAGAAGCTAGTCAGTAAGTAGCACCCATTCATGGCTTCTGTATCAACTCCTGACTCCAGATTCCTGCCCTGTGTGAGTTCCTGCCCTCCCTGCTTATGATGAAGAACTATCAGATGGAAGCATAAGCCAAATAAACCCTTTCCTCCCCAAGTTGCTTTGGTCATGGTGTTAGAAACTCTAACTAAGACACTATGGTACCAGCATAGTGGGTTATTGATGTGACAGACCTGACTATCTTTTGGGGAGATTATGGAAGGACTTTGGAACTTTGAGCTTAAAAAAAAAAAAAAAAAACAGAGTGTTGAGAGCTCAGTGTTCTGTAGGAGCTTGGGAGATAGAATGCTAGGTAGTAC